TGACACAACTATTTCATTCTAGTATGTGATTTATCAACAGAGCATGTTCATAACCCTGACTTTGGATTGAACATACGAGATCCCGAACCTTTAGATAACTAAGTTTAGATGTAAAGATTTATATTTCTAAATTCAATCAATTCCTGACATTGTGCAATCATTATCATCATTTGTCTCATGTTTAACACAACTGAATTCTATAAATTATAGGTTCTTATTCGAATTTCAGCAATTACTCGTAAACATATGATGATTATTATGATAGAGTATATATTCTAGTTTATGTAATTTGAAGTTCCTATTATCAATTTCATATAGCGTCATTGTCTACTTCTATGGAGAAGTAAGTTATAAAGAAACGATTGTTAATTGCTATGTATATTTCAGTGGTTCTCTATCTGATAATAACTTATAATTAAAGATAATTATTTTGACAGTTATCGAATAAGCTTAATGAAATTAGAGTTGAATTTATGAGTCCACCACAGAAAACCTGGAAACACTGGACGGTCGTTTAGTCTTAGTATGGGACTCCTCAACTGTGAGCATTCACCGTCCCGCCCGCAGGATTCGAGCACAGGATCTATCAGTTTCACGCGAGAACGCTTAACCACTAGACCACTGAGCCGACCGGCACCTAAAGGTGTTAATGTTTAACTTCAAACAATACACGAAATCGCGCCACTGTCTACCATTTTCATCAGTGAGTTACTATCACACAACAGACCCGTTTGAACTTCACTGGTCATTGCTTGTCACTAGGAGAACTCTATGAAATATCTCTTGAAACCAGTCACTAGTGAGCATATGTTGATGAATATCAGAAGAGGTTTTTATGGATATTATAATAATTTCATTAGTTGAGATCATGAGTCGATTGAAGCTAGATAACCATGGAAAATCTGGAAGAAAACAATCATTTATTCGTCTTGACCAGTGGAGCTAATCCATGTCGGGTAGAGACAGGTATCTGTCTCAGTACAAAAGAAGATGGTCGCGCAATTTCGTGGATTGGTTGATGTTAGACACTATCACCATTGAATGCCGGCTCAATGGTCGAGTAGGTTAGGCGTTCGCTCTCGAGACCGAAGGCCCTAGGTTCGAATCCCACGAGCAGGATCATGGATGCGCACTGTCACTGTGGAGTCCCACAATAGGACGAAACGGTCGTCCAGTACTTCCAGGTTTCCAAAGATGGTCTAACATCAATCGGTTCATGATCTCAGTCAGAAAATTCTAACAATTTAAATTTTCTTTTTTTCCTCATTTACTCATAGGCTTCTAATGATAGTTTGATAACGGTTCATTTACGATTATCTGTACCAAATGTTTATACTCGTTTATGCATTAAAATGGGCAATAAAGAAATGATCTTTGCTGAAGGTTATGGTGGAGCATGTATTTTTGCTTATATTATATTAGCTGATACAATAATAGATGACAAAAATAGTCAAACGTCTAATTCAGGACGTCTATTAGAAGTGAATAAAGGTGACAATGTCAAATTAAGTATAAAAGATGTAACCAATACAAAAGTTATATTGAATAAATTGAATACTACTAAAGTATCTCCAAGAAGATCTGCATCAGTTAAGAAAAATATGAAACCAGGAGTAAGTTGAATAAATTCTATCAATGAAAATAATTACGTATTTTATGTAATCAATCCATTAGTTATGACATTATATTCATCATGGTTACTAATCTCATAGAATATTCAAATGTTTCCAACCTTACAAAAAAACCCAGAACATTAGAAGGTCTGATGAATGATTGCAAATCGTCAATTGAAACTAGATCTGGGTTCGAATCCCGCGAGTCAGGGTTGTAGATGTGGGCTGCTGAGGAGTCCCACGATTGGACGAAACGGTCGCCCAGTGCTTCCGGGTTTTTCATCGTGGTCTAGCTTCAATTGACTCCTGATCTCAATTATTGATATCTTTAATACTCCCAGTGGAGTATAGACCTCCGGTTAGCATTCGCCGACTCACTCTGTCCTGAGCCTTCCTTTCTAGTCCTATTCAGTTTTTTAATTCTTTTCATGTCTGTCTCCATTTCTCGGTGTAATGTAATCTTTGGTTTTCTTCTTCTCCTTCGGCCTAGAGCGCTTCCCTTGTGACGCAGTTGGGTGATTTCCTGAATGTGTGTCTTATTCACTTCCAGCGCTTCTTTCTCTAAAAATACGATAACCAGAAAAAAATAATTCATTACAAATAATAACTTTAAATAAGGAAATAGTGATATAGTTATGGATGTAAAGCTGGATATTACATTGATTGTTAATCAGCTATCATTTATAAATAGTAAACAATAAAGTAAAAACATATGAAAACTTATATTCAAGGTTTTTCAAAAATTCCATAAACCAACTAATTAATAAGCAAGGATGGATGGTGGCTAGCAGTAGAATACAAGATGATGTGATAACGTTCGAAGCGAGCGGTACTAAGTATGAGTCTCGGAGTGAACATCAGCTCTAGGATGCAGGTACGTCCAGTTGATGAGTCTCAAATAGGACGAAACGCGCGTTCTGGATTCCATTATCAGCCATCATCCACCTTCGCTTATAATGCATGTGCCGTAAGGTAATATCGAAGCTATCCACACAGTATGCACAAATGCCAACAAGAGACTGATCAACTGCAGCCCTAAACATTAATGGTATGATACGAACAAACAATACCAAGTCAACTAATTAATAGATTTATATTAAAGTAATTCGAACTAATTCTTCAAATATTAGCTTCCCGAGTTTTTACACAGTTAGAAGCTAATTTTCATGAGAACTTTATGCTTACTAATGAGTAGTTTCGGTATGAATTTCTAGAAGTCTTTAAAATGGTAGACTTTGATTATTTAGACCATTCAACCTGAGAATGAATTATAAGCTCACCAGTGACATTGCTTAGGGATCATACTATGTCACATATCAATTGTAGCTGGGAATTTGGATCAGTGCATTCAATGACTTGGCATTATTATACTAGTTGCCAAACGTCAAAATTCTGGGATCGATGCAGTTGAAGGTTGTGTTTGTATACAGCTGGTTAGTGACAAACTAAGACAAATTAGTCGGAGTCTCCTATTTCAGTAAATTTTGAATTGTGTTCTAATCCCATAGGAATAATAAGTTCTACCAGATTGAGAACTGTTAACATCTCAGTAGTGATGTCTTAGATTGTAAGGTTATGTGACGCGGAACCAAGTTTACTAAGAGACACCAGTTTACTAAGAGTCACAGGTATTCTTTGTTAACGAGATATAAATAACACGAGACCTGGGTCTAGAGTTTCCAGTCGACTACCTCCGACGACTTCAAACATTTACTGAGAAAAATGATCAGTACGGTCATTTTAGTAATTACGGCGTTGTATCAAAATAATAACAATAGTATATAATAAATATATTTATATGTAGTAGTGAAATACAGAAAGCGAGTTTCATCCTGTTTGAGATTCGTCAGCTGGATGCACCAGCATCCTAATGTCCATATTCATATTTGAAATTAAACCCAGCACCTTCCTCGACAATTTACCATTATGATGGGTTTTAATTCTTTCATAATACTGAGTAAGCACATACATTTTGGTATCATCATTATTCACTTCAAACAAATGTAAAACAGAATAGTTATTTAGAAAGGTATTATACAATTAGAAAACAGATTATGCAAACGTTTAAAAATGAACTAAAAACTTTAAATGAAGACCTTCTAACTTCCAGAGCAGAGTTTAAATGGTTTGAATTATTTTTCCCGGTTAGCATTTTTTTAGCAAGTTCGTTTTCTATGGGACGATGTTGCTAACCTCATGCCCAACCCTTCTTTATCCGGGCTTTGGACCGGCAGTAGCCTAAGAGGGTGTTCCGGGCGGAGTTAAACGTTTGAACAGGTTGCCATTAATTTCTAATACATTTGATAACTTTACTTGATTTTGTATTCTACTCCTTTTGAGTAATTAACAACAATGTTTCCTCTATACAAATCAATTCATAATTTAGAGTAGTTCTGGCAGTTCAACTGGTGGTAGTACAGCAGGAAGTGGTCGAGGTTCTAGTAGTAATAATAGTGCTAATATAGAGCGATCAAATCAATATGAACAATTCAATTCCAGTTCACCACATTCACATAGATCAGATAGTCAGCAAATAGAAGGAGAAAAAGAAGAAGAAAGATATTATTGGATTGAAGCTTATGTAGATGGTAAAAATTGGCCATTGAGTATAAGTAATTGGTCATTTTTAGAAGACCAGCGTTGTAATAAACTTGAAGAGTGTCAAGGTTAATTATTGATTACTTTATTTGTTCTTTCTTTCTTTCTTTGTTTGTTTATTTTATAATAAAGCAGATAATTTAAGTAAGTTTTATGAAAACAATTGTCCATGGTTTGATCAAGGCTATTATACACTGATTGATCAGTCAATCAGTCAACAACAACAACGTAGAACGTCGTACATATGTACGTACGTACGTACATCAGTTCGAGTTGCTATACCACATCATCATACACATACAATTGTCCATTTAAATCCTATACTGGTAGAGGTAGTAAAAGTATAAGCAGTAATCGGAAACATTAGGGTTTGAAGATGTTATTCAAGGAGTACGATACAGTGAAATAAAGTTGCAAAGAGAAAAAAAAGGATATGAAGAATTCAGAATATTAGAATTTGGGAGAACATAGAGAGTGGATGCACGCGCACCACTGCAAACGATTTTGAAACATGTCATTCAAGATCTCTAACCATCAGTTACTATCATCTCGTGGATCCCAATCAGGTAGTTTACATCTACCAATATGGCTCAGTCCACTTGTCAGTGACTTCATGGATTTGTGTCATGTTTGGTTCTGGCTACCCTTAGCTTTCTTCCAACCTACTCCTACATCATAAAACACCACATGTTTGAGCAATCGGTGATCGTGCATATGTAACACATGTCTCGGTGAACTCAACTGATGAATTTTCACTACTTCATCAATTGATTTGCCATCCTTCTCTGTTACTTGTTTCCTAACAACTGGATTACTTACTCGGTTGCTGCAGGATATAAGATTAATGGTTCGAAGACACCTATGATACTGATTTATCAAACTCATTCTTATCTTGTTGTAGTGTGTTGGGTTCATTAAACTTGAATGATACTCCTGATACGGCTTATTCGGAACGGAACGAAGGATCAGGATTCAGAGATTCGATGGGCTATTCTAGTCCGTTGTTCCCGACTCAGCTAACTCGATCAAGAAGTCTTGGTAAGACGTAGAAGTGTATTCTACAGGCAACCAGCAGATACCAAGTCATGTCAGGTCAAGTTGTAGCGTGTCTTCGAGACGAGATTGACTATGAACACCGCTACCAAGAAACTCGTTCCAAATGACTCCATAAAATCCCGAGAAGCCAAATATCAGAAGGAAATTAATGGACCAAGTCGATGTTTATTTTCTGGCGATCTCGTGGCATCGAAAGGATACCTAGATCGTGCCATGATACAAGCTTGGTTACAGAAGGTAACCGAATTCGCGCGAAGTTACAATCGAAGTGTGTGAATAAGAAAAGAAGCACGATATAGCTGTCATTAGCACAGTCAAACAAAAGCACATTAAAACAAACACTGGTACATTTGGTTATAATAATAATTGTTTTTATTAAACCAGTCGTGTTCTAGTGACAAAAGTGAGTTACTACAGGAGCCTCCCGCTAGAAAGGGTTTACACTTTCGATAAATAGCGGTTTAAATCGTGGGAATGATCGGCTGACGAGCGATTGTAGGACGAACGGATTGGCGAACAGGAAAGCGATCGTTGATCGTCGAGTTGCCAACGAAGGTTATTTTCAGAGAACGGTACCAGGAGTGATGTGCTGTACTTGTTGCTTGAGTTGGCATGCTACCCGAGTGGTTTGTATCCAGAATCTGAAGATTGCGTTTGTAGAGGTCCGGACCAGAAACGCTGCAGACGTAGGACGAAATCATGTTGAGCCAACAGACCAGAAGCGACCGTAACGACCAAGTTCGAGACCAAGCTTATGCCAAACATTCGAAACGAAAATATCGACTGAGTACGTTGACAACAGCGTGGGTGATCAGGCCAGCTTTCGCCAAAGTTGACTGAAGTCGACGGAACCAAACGGAGATGGTCGAAGGCGTGGGCTCAGGAAACAAAAAGAAAATCAAAAAAGAGAAGAGTGTAGCATGCGTGTAGTATAGGAATAATCCTACACCGTATCGGTTGTTCACTGTGCGATTTGTCGCGGAAGCGTACGGGCAACTGTACTCGGCGACCGGAACGTGAGACGGTAGTCTCGTTCGTATTTCATGAGCCTGCAATCTCATCCGAGGTCAGAGACGGCGTGGTCTGCTGATCTGAACGTGAAACTGTCGTCTCATCCGTAGATAGTGCAGATGACGCGTGCTGTTGACTGGGACGTGAGAATGAGGTCTTGGATGTATCTAGCGTGTGATCTGAAAAAGATTTAAGGATCCCGCTAGGTTTGATAGATCTAGCATTGAATCTCAGAGTATCAGATAGGGCACAGTCATCGACGTGTGCTGATTTGAGACGATCAATGCTGACGATCTCGACGCGTCCATATCGATCAACCTTGAAGGTCTTTTCGTGACGAGCGATCACGTGAAAATTAGGTCTGCTCCGTGGTGTAAAGAATTCTCCGGGCAGACGCAATGTCGTGCCGTATACAAGTTCAGCGGCGGAACGTTGGATATCTTCCTTTAAGCTCGTTCTGACCCCTAAAAGAACGAGCGGTAAGGTCTCGTACCAGTCGTCGTTTTCGTGTGCTCGAAGAGCACTTTTAAGTTGACAGTGAAACCTTTCAACTAAACAATTTGAAGGCGGTAGTGCGTATGCGTTCCGTACCAAGCAGCCGAGTAAGTGAGGAGAATAGTGCGGACTCAAATTGTTGTCCTCGGTCAGTCGTGACAGTCGAGGGACAACCGTATAGAGCTATCCGCCGTGATAGACGTGATGGGTATAGCTGCGGGCCATCTAGTGAAGCGGTCGATGCACGTGAGTATGTGATCATACTCATGCAATGGTGGCAGTGGTCCTACAATGTCTATGTGAACGTGATCGAAGCAAGCATCAGGCGTAGCGAAAGTGATAGCAGTTTTTTCGATATCTTCAAGAGCGACTGGGATCTGATGATATGCTTGTACCGCATCGACCTTGGAAAAGATAGTCGTGCCCTTGAGCGATGCCATGATGTCGTGTATGTGGGGGATGGGGTAGCTATCAAAGCGCGTAACTACGTTTAGAGCTCGGTAGTCGCCGCATGGTCTCCAACTAACCCCATCTTTTTTTGCGCACCATGTGAAGAGGAGAGGTCCATGGACCGTGAGAAGGACGAATAATACCAGTAGCTAGTAAATAGTCAAACTCACGCTTAGCAATAGCTAATTTGTCCGGTGCCAGTCGGCGAGGTCGTGCCGTGACTGGCGGTCCGCGGGTGACTATGTGGTGTACCACATGATTGGTCACCGATGGAAGCTCCTCGTGTGGTTTAGTGAGTATGGGGAATTTCTCGAATAAAGCGTGGAATTTATCGTCATGCGAGTAAAAAAGTGCCGAGGATTCGGTAAGCGTTCATGTGGGCTTTACAGCCATGAATTTGCTGTTCGACGAAGTATCGATTAGCTGCAGCCTACGTGAATCGACAAGCAATTCATAGTGCTGTAGGAAATCGATACCTAGTATGGCTGAGGGAACATCAGCAATGATGAACGTCCACAGATACCGTCGTCGGTTGCCCAGGTTGACCGCGAGTTGTCGTGTACCGTAGGTAGGAATGACTGAGCCATTTGCAGCGCGTAGTCGAGGCACTGTGGCTTGTGACTTGTTGCTACTTCGTTGTACGACAGAAACTTGAGCCCCAGTGTCTACCAGGAACCTAGCGTTTGTGCGGTAATCGGGCACACAGAATAGGCGACCAACCTGGGGTGAAGGGCCGGCGAGTACGGTCGCTTTTACTCGCCGGCGCTGGCGTTTACCGCCTTGTATGAGCATGGTGCTCGACAACGGCGGGCGCCAGACCCGAAGGACCTATGGAACCAGCACCAACTGTCACTCGCTTCCGAAACCGCCTTTCGGCGTGGCTTGAAAAATGCCCTTTTTGGGCGAGTGGTGACGGGTTTGCGAGAACTTGAGCGAGCTCGAGGGACTTGGGTTGAGGTACGTTACAACGGTCTCGAAAACTAAGACGCGTGTGGATACACCCGTCCCTGTCGCCATGAGCTGAGGAATGACCCGCGTCCATGTCTACTTTAGGACGTGCCGTTGAAGCAACTACATATCTGTCTCTATTACTAGTCCCCGCCAAAATTTTGTCTGCTATGAGGGCTACCTGGTTAAGCGGTGAGTCCTCGAGCAGTAACGTCACAGTAGGTTGGATATGAGCTGGTAGTGACTCGAGCCACAATTCCTTAACTATTTCCGAGTCAGATGCTGTTGGTCCTGCAAAGGATTGCAGGCGCGTGAGGTGGTGGCTAGGTTTAGCATCACCCAGAGGGTGACGTGCTAACAATGTCCTCAATCGTTCCTCCCTCGATGGGGGGAAATGTCGGAGAATTGCCTCTTTGAGGTGATCATAAACATTGAGCACGTTGACTGAGGAAAACTTAGTTGTTGGTGTTGTATAACTTATTCTCTGACTCTCAACTTTTATGAAATGATATGCAGATGATCAGTCAGCTACAATTATAGGTCATTCATGTAACCACAGTAACTGCACATATATCCCTGCCTGTATCAATCTGGGCGCCTATAAATACGTATAGTTTGTTAATTGTTATTTGGAATTTGATGATACAGCTTATTTATTTATTTATTTAAACACATAAACATTGGTACAAGGGGGCACCTGATACATATGCGCCACACAAATCTCACTTGATTTGTTGGAGGGCTGTGATACTATACGGGTTCCCAAACCGAAGTAAGTGGTTTTGTTATAGGCCACGCCCAGAGCCTTTGACATGAATGTCTGATCCACAAAGCAGTGGAGCAAAGTAAAGAGATGCATTCTCATGGTAGCTGGTGACCAACGATTAGTTCATACACCATATGTTTTTTCAGGATATTGGAACGCATGTACGCCACTGATTTATAACCATGGACTTCAAACTACCGAGTAAACCAACCCGGTTAAAGTACCGGATATTCGTTTTTCGCCCTCCCAATTTCGTAAACAACAGCGATGCAACCAGAAAGCAGGGAGTAGGACTTACCTGACAGTGGTTGTATGCACGTGGCCACTTGAGAGGATTTCAAAAGGGAGAGCTTACTCTCCTCACTCTGAGCCGTACCAGCGCATTTGGGGGCCTAAATATGTGTTGGAAGTGGGATTCGAACGCACGCCCTCACCATGGATCAGTTGATGACACAGGTTATTAGTCACTTTGTTTTTTCTCTCACTGAATAGTTGGGTTGACCAACTGTTAGAAACATACAACATAGTCATTTAACATGACAGCATATTGAAACTGACTTGGTATTTTGGAGATGTGTGAGACAGAAAATGAGTTTCAATGGTATCGCATTCTGTAAACCAGATGATGTAATGAATTTTTCAAGTTTGTACTATGTGGATATTTGAAAAGCCACTGAAATCTTGATGATCTAAACATCAAGCTCAGAAATATGAAAATCGCCGAAAACTGATAAGTTGTAAATCAACTAATATCATATTTTCTAGTTCGACTCTGAAATTGGATGAAGAAGTAAGAACGTCCAGAATTGCAGACATGTTTGTCTAAAAATGCTTATAATTACATCATTTTAATCAAAAAAAGCTTCTTCATGTTTAGGTAACTCATTTACTAAATATTGGTTTATGTACTCAACTTTGAATCACATTGCATATGCTAGTGAAATGACCTAGCTTTCTGAAATGAAGAAGGTAAAGAAGGGTTCCAATATGTTTAGCTGTTGAAAGATCTCATAGCAAGCGATGAATGGATGTGTGAATAGACTCTTGTATGTCAGTGCATTATTCATCGGACCAAAACAATTCCTTGCACACATCTATATCGGTCAGCCCTGACACATATGTACTATAGGTTTGTGTCAATTACTATTCGAATTATTGTGGGAATTCAACTTTCCAGGATATATCAGTATTGAGGTTGTGGAGATTGTTAATTTTTGATTGAGATCATGAACCGACTGACGTTAGACCATCATTGAAAACCTGGAAGCATTGGACGGCCGTTTCGTCCTGTTGTGGGACTTCTCAGCAGTGCGCCTCCACGATCCCTCTCGCGGGATTCGAACCCAGGGCCTTCAGTCTTCAGGATATATTTGGTTTCTGGTTTCATATTGTAGACTGACCAAGTATTTTGAAAGTATATCTCAACTCATTAATAGTGATATAACCAATTAAGCATCACCTCATTATAAGAAAGTACAACAATAATAGAATATCATTTGTCCTAATCATTGTTCATTCATTGATTTACTTTTTCAGTAAATAATACAACTTCTCGAAATACTTCAGCTGATAAAAGTTCCGATAGTAGAACTATTAAATCAGCAACAAAATCACCTGGAAACAAAACAATTGGTATAACTGGTCAAAAATCTGGTTCTACACGTGGTACTTCAGCAAAAATTGATTTTAATCAAGCTCATTGGAAAATGAGAATAATATGTAATAATTCTGTAAGATTTACTCTTAGAAATAGTATGTTTTTTAAATGGAACTATTTCGATGTTTATCTGTTGTTTATTTATAACAATTTTTCTAAAGGTAGTCAATTTTATTTCATGTTAATAAATGTATAGCGTGGTGTCGAGTCCCAATCGACTATGAACACCACTACAAAGAAACACGCGCCAAATAAATAAGAGGGCGAAGGTTGAACGTAACCAAATTTATTCGTTGGTGATGTCGTGGTATCGAATGAATACCGAGGTCGTGCTAAGAAAAGGTACAAGCGGAATCGACAGAAGAAAGTACGTGCGAACGGAGTCACGAACCGCGAAACAGTAATGGAGAATAATGGAAGAGCAATATGGCTATCTTTAGCACAGTTAAACAAACGAGCACAGTAAAACAATCATTGGTACAATTGGTTATAATAATAATTATTTTCATTAAGCGAATCGCGTTCTCTTGATAAAAGTAGGTCACTACAGATGCATAGTTGTTAGTAGAACATTACAAACATCTAACTTTAACCAATTCACAAAATTACCCCATCTTCTACTATTATCGTCAGTGAGTTACTGAGGAGTTCTACATTAGGACGAAACAGCCATCCAGTAATTCTATGTTTTCCATGGTAGTCTAGATATAATTGACTTATGAATTGAAGTATTGATTTATAAATGTCAATCGTATTGTAGCTTGGGATGCTAATACTGTGTTTTATCTGACTAGTCAGTTGAAAAAAGCATGTTCTCGTTTTAATATCAGAAAGGGTTTTGTGAATATTATAATAATTTTAATAGTTGAGATCATAAGTGGATTGGATCTAGATCATCATAGAAAACATGGGAATACTGTACGGCCGTTTTGTCATAGCATAAAACTCTTCAACATTGCACATCCACGATCCCGCTTCGCGAGATTCGAACCCAGGACACATCAGTTTCGCACGTGAGCGCTTAGCCATTAGGTCACTGAGCCGACCAGCATCCAACAGTCTTAACGTCTAACTTCATCTAATACAAGAAATTCAGCATTGTTTTCAGTGAATTACTATCTCACAACAGACTCCGTTGAACTTCACTGGTCATTACTTCTCAGTAGAACTCCATGAAATATCTCTTGAAACCAGTCACTAGTGAGCATATATTGATTATTATCAGAAGGGGTTTTTATAGATACTATAGTAATCTTAATATTTGAGATCATGAGTTCTCGTTTTATTGATTGGTACAACTGTCATATTGAACTGGGCTGTTTCTTCCTTTTGTTATTTGTACCTAACGTTGATTGTTCATTGTTACTTTCACCATAGCAATTGAAACGTTTTCAGATTATCTACAATGATCATGCAATAGATTTTTCATTCAGAGTAATGCTGCAGTTGATGATGAAACTCTGGGAGATGTGGGATCCTTCATATACCTGGGAAGCATAATCGATGAACAAAGAGGATTCGATGCAGACGTAAATGTGAGGATCGGCAAAGCAAGGGCCGCATTCCTGCTGTTGAACAACATATGGAACTCAAAACAACTGTCTGTAAGCCAATATCAAAGTCACAATCTTCAATACGAACGTTAACACAGTTCTACTATACGGAGCTCAAACTTCGAGAACTACTACAACCATCAAGAAAAACGTACAAGTATTTATAAATAGTTGTCTATGCAAGATACTCAACATCCATTGACTGGATGCCATCAGTAACAGTCTATTATGTGAGAGAACAAACCAGCTTGCAGATGAAGAAGAAATTAGGAAAAGACGTTGGAAGTGGATAGGAAATACATTGAGAAAATCACCAAACTGCATCACGAGGCAAGCGCTACCTTGGAGTTCTGAAGGGAAGCGCAAAAGAGGAAGGTCAAAGAACACATTATGTCGGGAAACAGAAGCAGATATGAATAATAACTGGAAAGAAATGGGAAGGATTGCCCAGGACAGGTTAAGATGGAGAATGCTTGTGGGTGGCCTATGCTCCTCCACGTGGAGTAACAGGTGTAAGTAAGTAATTAATTAAGTAAGTAATCAAGCAATACTATTTATAATTAATTCTGAAGAATAGAAATTGAGTGAAAGGATAGAATGTTACTGATTTGCCTGCTTTTATGTTTATAGAATGTTTCCACTGTTTTATTATTTTATTAGAATGACATTAAAATCATTAATATGGATAATAAAATATTAGAAATTAAAGCTTTAAAAAGAGCTTGGGAAGAAATGGAACCTGGTAGAGCAATAAGAGCTGAATTATCAAGAGCACGTTATCTTGAAGAATATGGTCTAATGAATAAATTGGATAATAAAACTAATGTAGATGATTCAGGATCAATGATTACTATTACATCTGATGGTTAGTTGTGTGAATAAATCAACTTTTTTTAATTGTTGGTTGTATGTATTGTCACCAAGAAACCTTGTTTAACCTAAGTTTCAACTGAACCATTACTTATAAACTAAGCATATCTGTAGTCTTGATGGAACTGATTTACCTTGTAGATTTCAAACTGTACATACTTACTTAGTTACTTACGTCTGTTATTCCTCGTCAAGGAGAATAGGCCGCTCACCAGCATTCTCCATCCAACCCTGTCCTGGACAATCCTTTCCAGCTCCTCCCAGTTGTTATTCATCTTTTTCATATCTGCTTCTATTTCCCAACGTAATGTGTTTTTTTGCCTTTATTTTCTCCGCTTCCCTTCAGGATTCCAAGTTAGAGCTTGCCTCGTGATGTAGTTTGAAATTCATAAACTTTATAAATGTGAGTATTAAAAAGTTCTGACTGATAACTGTGAACACTGTCGAATCTAAATTCCTAGAACATTCAGTTAGCTGTTACCAACAGCTTAAACACGAATAGGGAAGTCATTAGTATTATGAAATAAAATTACTAACAAATGTACTACTCAGACATCTATTTCTGTCTACGTACAGGGCTGAAGTGATATCATATTGAGATAAGATGGTGGTTGGAAGTAGTCAACAGGAAACTTTCGACCTAGGTTTCGTGCTACTTGGCACTTGTCAGCAAAGTGTACCTGTAATCTTGAGTAGACTGATGATCCTTGGTAGATTTAATCCCATACCACCCAGTTTCACAGTTAGAGACGTTACCAATAAGCTATCCGGGCCTCGACTGACTGTATGACTGAAATGTATTTACAATTGATTGGTCACTGAGTAGTGATCAATGTCATTTATGTCAGGTGGATTTTAGTGCAGATCGAATCTTATCGACCAAGTTGTATAGTGCACTCTATGTCGAATCACCTAGACTGGTGACCACATTGCAACATGATAGATAGCATTCGATCTGCACTAATAAGGACTAGACAAGCATGACATTGATCACCACCCAGTGATCAATCAATTGTAATCTTTTGTCTTATTGAACGTTAACTATGAACATCGTAAGATATAGAGTTGATCACAGAAAATTATAAATATTCATTTAAAAACTTGTATGAACTTTGAATTAATAATTTACTGAACTGTTAACATGAAAATGAACCTTCATGAAGCAAATGTATTCACCTCTTCTCTTTTACATTTTGAATCTTTCATTGATTCAAACGCTTATTTCTCCCTACTCTTACCAGTGTTTTTATAAGGAAAGTACTGTTTTTGTAATAATATTCACATTGCACTGTAGTTATGACCATGGCATGAAAACTCAATAATTCAGTTCCTTGTTAAATTCATATATGTATCATTTGAAGTAATAATTCAACAATTCCTATTGTGACTTTATATCCGGCTAGTTATCATGTGATTTATCCACCAATCAAAATACAACTTATACAATCTTCGCACTGTGCCAAAACCAATGATGTTCGACCGGTATAGACAGTTAAGCATCCTTATTGGTCCTATATCCGCCTAGCCCGTCCACTTGAGAACAGAATACAAATACCAGCTTTCACTATGCAAATCGAATCGAATCATTTGTTTCAGACATACTGCGTTTATGTATCAACCAAACAGACCGCAACGCACCATAAAATAGAAAATAACATTCATACACAGTAACGTCAAAATGTGACTATGAACGAGGGAGACAGTAGTTAATAAACTGAATATAGCTTCAGAACCGTAAATCGTACAATAATAATATACAGATTAAAATAAAGCTGTCAACAAGGGGAATATAGATGTACACAGTCTAGTTACTGAATATCTATACCATAAGAATATATAAATAATATTAGTCCATTAATAGGTCTCAGAAGTTACTGATGACATAATCTTCGTTCCGATATAACATAGGGGAGTGGCGAAATCTTGATTCCAAACCAATGATTCATATGGGCTTCAATATCCTAAGGAAACAAATGGCATATGAATCAATTGTTGGTAACCAGCTAACATGAGACTGCATTTCCTAAAGTTACTCCACCATCTTGTGGATTAGATCTTTAGGTTAAAGGCTCTGGTTATGACCCCCTAAGAAACTCACCTGCTTCAGATAAGGAACTCGAACAGTATTCTAACCTTCACATAAATCATTCGATTTATATCCAATTATTAAATGGTTATATCATAAGAATGTATAGATTATATTAGTCAATTAATTTGTCTCAGACGTTACTTACTTACTTACTTACTTAAGTATAACAAATGCTACTCACCTTTTTCTCAAAGAGGTTTGACTGTTTTCTTTAAACTTTAAAACATCACTACATAATTTATCAATACATGGTTAACTTATTCTATAACATGAAGTTAACATGAAGTAAAATCGTAAATCATGGATACGAACAATTGACGAATCTCACAAAAAGACGAAACATGCGTTAAATTGGATTTCACTTTGTTGATCAATTCATTTTCATTCATAAATCATTCATTTTCTTTTGTTTTAATAAAATTCTCCATCTCTCTCTCTTTCTTTCTTTAGATAATCAAATTCAAACTATAAAAGATCATTCTCCATTAGATCACACCTTATTATCAGATCCATCTAAAATTTATATTTTAAAATTCCCACCAGAATTAAATCGTACAATTTATCCAATTCAATTAATGAATTTAAACAAATTTTATCATCATTTTAATGAGATTGAATTACAACGTATTCAACAAGTTCAATCTACAATGAATTCTTATTCAATAAATCAATGGTTTATTCTAGAATATTCTTTACAACAAATTCAATCATTATTCAATAAAAATTTAAATGAAATTTTAAAATTTAAATATCAATTATTTAATGATTATTTAAAAAATTTAAAATTTAAATTTTTAAATTTAAAAAAAAAACGAAATCAATATAAACAAAATTATATTGATTTATTGAAAACGATTCAAGTAAGTATGATTAATCATTGTGATTATATAATATATTATCTAATTTATGAATGAGCCAATCAGAGGCATTTAAAAGAGATTTCAAGGTTACGGTGCTAATTTGAATGTCACAAAAATCTCCATTAACTTTAATGAACAATTCAGTTCATTAGTTTTCTTTATTTGTTTACTTTGTATCTGAACTTAAACTGGCAAGACTTCAATTTATGGACGAGTCAATCGGAGGCGTTTAAGAGATTTTAAGGTTACGGCGCAAATTTCACTGCTGAATGTTAACGTATGATCGCTTCACAAGGAATTTTGTAGAAAACGTGATCATTGAGCGGCTATAACAAATAAAACGACTATTCTGTAGCCGTATGGATGATTTATTCTACTGTATGCATTACGATTTTAGAACCTCTGAATCTCTTTCTAACCTTGACAAGTTTTGAACCATGTAGAAGACGTGAATCCACTTTATTTCTTTGGTTTTGTATTATATATTTTTACTCTATACTAAGTGTTTCTTGATTAGCTAATATTTCTCAAGTTCACTTAAGATTCGTTCAAAGGTAATAGATTTCAAGTATATAGGAAAAGATATGTATATACTTATCATAATAACACCAGGAGATATATAATGTTGGTTATACTGTGCTTTAAGCTTACATAACTTATTCTATCTTTTGGATGGACAGACTAATTTAACTGTTCTTCTTGAGTCACATATCTTGATCTTATTCATTATTCACTTATTAATCTTGATTATCTTTGTGTAAGCGCTGGTGTGTATATTGTCTATTCTACTCGTTACATATCTATAGCTTATTTTTATTTAGCTATAAATATTGATTAACTCTAGGTTAAATAGAATTGGCTTACATGGAATCTCCACTACTCGTCATTTCATATCTCTCCTATTCCGTTTATCACTTCGATTTCCCTTCCAGATAAGTGAGTGTACAAAATATACGCATTTAAGAATTCATTCTCGTCTTTGACTTATTTTGATTACATTATACACTAATGCCAGTTAAGTCGATGATTCTATACGAGATAAGACAATGGTTGATAATATGTATTTCAATAACAATCATTCATATGATCTAACTGGAGTCAGATCGTGAGTGATTCAAGATAATTGAATTATTGTCATTATTATCAGAAGGGGTTTTGTGGAGATTGTAGTAATTTCAACAGTTGAGATCATGAATCAATCGGAGCTAGACTACCATGCAAAACCTGGAAGCACTGGACGGCCGTTTCATCCTATTGTGGGACTCCTCAGCAGTGCGCATCCACGACCTCGCCTCGCGGGATTCGAATTCAGGACACATCAGTTCCGCGCCAGGCGCTTAATCAACTAGACCATTGAGCTGGCATCCAACAGTGTTAATGTCTAACTTCAACTAATCCACGAAATTCAGTGACACATCCACCATTGTCATCAGTGAGTTATTATCTTACAACTGACCCGGTTAAACCCCACTGGTCGTTGCTGCTCACTAAAACTCCAGGATATACCTCTTGAAGTCAGTCACTGGTGAGCATATGTTGATTAATATCAGAAGGGGTTTTGTGGAGATTGTAGTAATTTCAACAGTTGAGATCATAAGTCAATTGAAGCTAGACCGTCATCATTATTCATTAAAAATTTGAATCAAATTTTAAAAATTAAATATGATGTGTAGGTGAGAATGATAATGATTAGTTTTCTGCTTAGTCAGACATGTAGATAGTCTGATAAATGTTAGATGAGTTATATGTACCCCTATCTACCTCAGTACAATGAGAGATGAGATTACACATTAACACTGTTGGATGATGAACATCTCTGTGGTCTGGACGTTAGGCGTTTGCGCGTGAGACTGAAGGCCCTAGAATTGAATCCTGCGAGCGGGATTGTGGATGCGCACTACTGAGCGCCACAATAGGATGAAACGCCTTCCAGTGCTTCCAGGTTTTTAATGGTGGTCTAAGATCAATCGGTTCATGAACTCAATCAATGAATTAATAATCTCCACTACCCTTATATTGATAATCGAGCTCATAAAACATATTTTAGATGAACAGGCCAATTAGACCTTGTAACTTATTGCCTTAACAACCTTGACTGTTTTTATATGAGCGTATGTGTGTGCATTGCTTATCTTATTCATCACATGGCTGTAGCTTATTTTTGTGTAACTATAAATATTGATTAACGCTTGGTTAAATGGAGTTGGCTTACACTTCTTCTCCATTGCGTGTCATTTCACTTCATTCTCTTCTATTTGTATCGTTCTTCTGAATGTCTGTCCAGATTAACGATTGTTCACTAACGCGAGTTAAATTGATAATTATCTACGAGGAAAGTCAGGATATATATTTCGATAACATTTTTAGTGGCTCGAGATCCGACTCCAGTTGGAATGTATGATTGATTGCTGTTGAAACATACATGTTGCCAATTGTCGTGTATAAATATCGACTTCATCTACGTTAGTGATTAACGGAATTAAACAAGTCAAATACGTGAATGGATTTTGAGTATATATATTTTGTACACTCACAGACAATCAGAGCGACGAAGCAAAATGACGAGCAGGCACATAAGCCAACTCCATTTATTCAAGCGTTAATCCATATTTATAGTCACAAAAATAAGCTACAGACAAATGATGAGTGGGATAAGAAGTGTAAAAACACACACATACACTCATATAAAAACAGTCAAGGTTGATAAGTGAATAACTAACAAGATCAAGATTTGACTCAAGAAGAGCCGTTAAATTGGCCTGTCCAGAGGCTAAAATAAGCTATGTGGGCTTGACATGGGACCAGACAGTACACACTCATACGATCCAACAGGTGTCAGACCCTGGACCACTAAAATTAGTTGCTAAGTCATGAGAATGGAGTAGATATGGAAATGTGTACTATTGACAGTGGATTCAATGGTAAAAAAATATCTTATCATGTGAACTAAATGTTATAAGCTCGATTGTGAGTTGAATGATACTCTCCGAGAATATAATAGTTATTCAGTATTATATAATTTTTGACAGCTCGCTGGGTAGTATTAACTTGTAACAAATAAATTATCTTTTAAAGTTCGACTGTTTTGTGTGTGTATGTGTGTGTGACAATCAGATAACTAAACGAACTATCAGATGTATACAATGGTTAGGTACCTTTGGAAAGATACTAGTTGACAGTCTTAGTGTCAACATTAACATTCAATGCAAGTACACCTAATCTATTAGTCCTGCATAGGAGAAAATCCACTTTCTAGGTCCCATTGTTATCTATTATATAACATTATTTCAATCTTGCAACTAAATAGAACTATATAAGAAGTTCTCTGAAGGTGTACATATTTTAAAAGAGATTGATCAGTTTGATGCTTAACATAAATGCCAACGAGATAACATAAATACTTACAAATATTTTGCGTTAGATAGTTTATTTTTATTGTTCTAACGAACAATTAAAGCATGACCAACCAGCTGAAAAACCACAAAACATAGGTCAAGGACGTTACTCGTAATGTAATGTTCACTTGGATATAACAGTATTTAACCAAATGAATGAATCAATTTCATGTCAAAATCTAACATTTTCTATTCTTAACTCCAAGTGGGTCATCTATAAACTATAATTTCATCAGTTTTTGTTTTATTAAATATTCTAGATGAAGGTTTCTTTAGTAAACTAAATCATTTCGTTATGAAGCTTTCGTCGCTTCTCTGAACGTTATCATCAGCAATGAAATGTTCACATTTCTCCACATATTACTCATAGCTTATTCATGTAGATCTTGATGTTGATTAGTTTCTAGTTGATCTTCAAATTATCATTATTTACTTTTTTTAATATTTTGGTTATATTTCTCATTGACGAGAATCTATGGACGATCTTTGAACGAATGTTGAATATCCTTCCGAAATATGTATATTACGAAAAACAAAACCAAAGAATTAAAGTGGTTCGAAGACTAATCATGGTTTGGAAAAGGTTCAGAGGTACTGAAATGATAGTAGATACGATAGAGGGACTCATCCATATTGGCTCCATAATAATCGACTTCTTGAGCCATGATAGGGTCGTAAGAACTTCTTTAGCTTCGACCACATAACTTCAATATTGTCAGTGTGTACTGCAGTTGTAGGGTCCACAAAATAACACTTACAAATAGCGACATGATGCACATATCCAAGTTTGTGCAGGTATTTGTAGGCAACAGGTACTGAAGTTAACGCCATCATCGTGAAATCTTTCAAGCGCTTCTGATTGACTCGTCCATAAATTAGAGTCTCATTCTCTCATTTGGTTTGTATATTTATTGTTTAATAATATGTACTTAAGATTGTGTTATTTTCATTCTTTTCTCCTCATTTTTTTTCTTTTCTTTTTTTTAATCACTAGTTCGCAACTGATGAAGCACATTATAAATACTACGAAATGTGTATGAATTATAGAAATAATATAATAAAACAATATAAAAATGATAAAGAAACATCATGTAATCAAACAATGATTGAACATAGTGATAATACAGAACCAATTCTAAATCGAATTGAAAATGTAAAAAAAAGCAAAAGAATTAAATCATCAAGAAGTTCAAAATCTAGTTCAAAAAGTCGATCGAATTCAAATCAACGAAGAAATTGAAAGAAAAAATAAATTAACTGTTTGTTTTACTCTCTTGTTTTTTCTACCTCTCTCCCCCGTCGTCGTTGTCGTCGTTAATAAATTGTTATATCAATGATTGAAATCATGAGTCAATTGGAGCTAGATCACCATGGATAACCTGAAAACACTGGACGGCCATTACGTCCTAGCAAGGGACATCTCAGCGGCAGTGTGCATCCACGATCCCTCACTTCGCGAGGTTCGAACCCATGACCTATCAGTCTCATGCAAGGCGCTCAACCAACTAGAGACCATGATGGTCTGACTTCAATTGACTCATGATTTCAATCAGTGAAATTTCTAAAAATTTCCACAAAACCCCTTCTTATATATTGTTATATGTTTAGAAAATAATATATATATAATTCGTTAGAGTCTATAACAGAGTAATACCTAATAGTTTGACTGGTTTGTATCGATAAGATTCCTCGTCTCGCAAGATTTGAACCCAAGACATATCAGTCTCTGGATTGTGGATACGCAGTGTTGAGGAGTCCCATAATAGGACAAAATGGCTATCCAATGCTTTCATGTTTTTCATGGTGGTTTAGCTTCAATTGATTCATGAATTCAACTACTGAAATTACAATAATATTTAAAAAGATCCCTTCTTATATATTTTTTTTCTTGACATGATCTAATTTTGTCACTAAGTGTGAATGTCATAGTTTTACATTAGGTCTGTCGTGTAATGAATACTACATCTGTAACACTCAGTGATGTCGGATAGAAACTTATAAGAATATCATTCTTGTCAAAATGTCAGATAATACGTTTTGGACAGGATGAAACTTAGATCTAGGAATATTAATTGATTATCTTCAAACATCATAAATTGGACAAATAAAACTTCAACATCAGATCATTTATATAAGTGTATGTACTGTTGACTAGTGAACGTGATACTAGTTACTATGAGGTGATAGACTGTTATGATCCTACCTCTTGAAAGCAACGTGTTTCCAGTCTAGTCAATATATATTGTAAGGGGCGGTGTCCGAAATCTGGTACTGATAGACGATTTGCTACGCGCTACAACCCCCCAATTGACTACTTGAGTGTGAAAGTATGTTGAACTAGCGAAGAAAATGCACATGTCAGTCAGTCACTTACAAAGTAGGATCAGGCACATATATGTATCGCTTCAAGTGGCCATACCTCATTAGCACAACAAGACCAACA